AAATCAAAAGATTAATGAAAGGCAAAAGGGAAGCTTTTTGATACCATCGAAATTAAACGAATAGTTTATGATTTTAATGGAAAATTGTGTTTGATGCACGTGTACTGAAAAGACACCACCATGGCCAGAAGAGATAAACTGCACACAAAGGTACCCATAGGATTAAGGAAGTATGATGTAAAGAAAATTATTCCAATACTATTGCTCTACAACAAGATGGATATATAAAGTTGCACACAAAGGTANACTTAATATTTGCAAAAATATTTGAATAAGTTACACTTTCCTCATTTTTAAATTTAAAAAGTGGTTTTTTTTTTTTCAAAAGTAACCGTTTCTTCAGTATCTTCAATTTTGATAAACAAAAAAGTTACTTTTTTTGAAACTTACTTATTTACTTATAATCTGCAAAGCAAAAATATTTTGCTTATACTCGGCAAAGCAATATTCCGAGTTTATGTATACCGTATACTCAAGTCTTCTAGATTTTACTATCACAAAAAAGATTTAACACTACATGCGTACAATAGCGTTTGTATTTCAATAAATTTGAGTTAAAAAACATTGAAGAAAATTAAATCTTATAAGACTTTGAGGTCAACCCTAGTAATATCTATTATAATCAAATCCATATTATCAAACACGGATCAACGTATTTTATTTTGATCATAATTCATAACGAATGGATAGAGCTTATCACATATCATGTGTGTGTGCATATGACTCATGCTGATCAATAATTTTAAAAGTAATGTGGGACAGAGAGTATGATTGGAAGAGATTCCACGAAAATGTTCTCCTGCCCGCGGCCTGCAAGCTTATCCTGCCCACCTGCTGATGTGGCAGGAGAACCCTACGTGGGGTTCTCTCCAAATGTGAGAACCCCACGTTGGGTTCTCTCCGAGTGGGCATTATAAGCTTGCCCGCCGCGGGCAGGAGAACGGGACTGAGAGATTCCAATTGGGAAAGGAGAAAGTGAATAATACTTAAATCATGTTTGGTGGTGCATGCGGTTACTAAAATTAATTAAAATTTAAACTTAACAATTAATTTTAATCAATTCAAAACTTTTCAATCACACGTTCAATTAACTTTTATCGAAATTTACTAACAATCTAAATTTTATCTGAATCGATCGGGGAATAAAGAAGAGAGGGTTGTCTAGTCTTGCCCTTAAACGTTATATTCGTACCAAATTGTAAGATGGGGATAATAAGTATACCAAATTGCTTCTATTTCAATATGCTCTTGAAGTAAAAGTCCATACATGATTCAAGTTTCTTCTTTTTCTTCCTTTTCGTTTATTATGCCCTTGTTTGGGCGCACTAAAATGCATTTTTGAATAGTAATATTTTGGAGAATGTATGGTTTATAAAAAAGGAAAATTTTTTGATTTACCTGTAATATTATTTTATTAAAAAATGTGTAATTAAAAATAAGAACGAGAAAAATATATTTTTGAATAATGGAGACCAAACAGGGACTATATAAGGCAAAGTACCATAATGAGAGATCACTGCAATTCTCACGGTAATATCCATCTCTTAATGGAAGACTCTCTCATTGACAATACACAATTTGATTATTTTTTGCTAATCTTTTTAAATCGAGAGCAACAATTATTGAACAAGTGCAATCATTGTAAATTCACTTTCCATTTGTAAAGCATTTGAACAACTTTCCATGCGAGGAAAGTAAATGGAAGGTGGGGGTATCAACAACCAAAAGACAGTGTATTGAGCAAAGTTTTTGTCCGTGAGGGGTTTGATCATATCCCTACCCTGTCGAGTTTAAGTTCGTCATTCTAAATTTTAGATCTTCTGTCAATATATTTATGGGACGTGCTACATGTAAATAAATTTTTGTACATATGGGTGTCCAAGTGGGTCTCATCCCATGTGAGGATGTGGACACCCCCAAGAATTATTCTATCTTTAAGCGGTTTCAGATCCAAAACGACTATTTGTTCACAGAATCATATGTTAGGTGAAGAAGAAACGAGGAAAAGATGTTATTCTAATGGGCAGTCAAAGTCGTCTCCCTCTTATTGTAGTTGTCTTGAACGTGGCTGTCAATTTCTTGGGAACTTCTACAATTTATTAAAACATGCATTATGATTTCGAAAAACTAATATTTTAGTAAATTCAGTTTGAAACAAATGTTACATTGATCCATTGGGACTCATGGAGCTTGAACTGGCAGCTTCTGCCTTGACAAGGCGGTACTCTTACTTATTGAACTACAATTACTGAAATTAAGGATAAAATTGGTTCTTTTTTGTATCTTCGTTTCGTATGAGGTATTTCAGAAGGACAAAGGGTTACACCGTCTCTTGGCGAATTGAGCTGAACTCGAACCATCATCAAGTCGAATTTCGCAGAATCTTGTTGGTTTGGAAAAAGGGTTCAATATCTTTTTGTTGGTTTGGAACAATGGGTCCAAGATTTTTTTTTTTTTATNTTTTTTTTAATTTTTGTTTTATTTTTTTTTTCAATTTTTTTTTACGGGTCGCGGTTAACCCACGGCCCGTAGGGGTGCAACCCGCGAAGCCCGCGGGTTACACCTCCTTGGTCCGTGAACCGCCCGCACGGGTCACGGGTTGGCCCGCGGTCCCGGTTTTCACGGGCCGGTTTTTACGGGTCATGGTCGGCCCGTCCGTCTTGACACCTCTATTTTGAATAATGGAAATCAAACAGGGACTATATAAGGCAAAGTACCATAATGAGAGATCACTGCAATTCTCACGGTAATATCCATCACTTAATGGAAGACTCTCTCATTGACCATACACAATTTGATTATTTTTTGCTAATCTTTTTAAATCGAGAGCAACAATTATTGAACAAGTGCAATCATTGTAAATTCACTTTCCATTGGTAAAGCATTTGAATAACTTTCCATGCCAGGAAAGTAAATGGAAAGTGGGGGTATCAATAACCAAAAGACAGTGTATTGAGCAAAGTTTTTTGTCCGTGAGGGGTTTGATCATATCCATACCCTGTCGAGTTTAATTTCGTCATTCTAAATTGTAGATCTTCTGTCAATATATTTATGGGACGTGCTACATGTAAATAAATTTTTATACATATGGGTGTCCAAGTGGGTCCCATCCCATGTGAGGGTGTGGACACCGCCAAGAATTATTCTATCTTTAAGCGGTTTCAGATCCAAAACGACTATTTGTTCATAGAATCATATGTTAGGTGAAGAAGAAACAAGGAAAAGACGTTATTCTAATGGGCAGTCAAAGTCGTCTCCCTCTTATTGTAGTTGTCTTGAACGTGGCTGTCAATTTCTTGGGAACTTCTACAATTTATTAAAACATGCATTATGATTTCGAAAACAACTAATATTTTAGTAAATTCAGTTTGAAACAAATGTTACATTGATCCATTGGGACTCATGGAGCTTGAACCGGCAGCTTCTGCCTTGACAAGGCGGTAATATTTTAGTAAATTCAGTTTGAAACAAATGTTACATTGATCCATTGTGACTCATGGAGCTTGAACTTGCAGCTTCTGCCTTGACAAGGCGGTACTCTTACTTATTGAACTACAATTACTGAAATTAAGGATAAAATTGGTTCTTTTTTGTATCTTCGTTTCGTATGAGGTATTTCAGAAGGACAAAGGGTTACACCGTCTCTTTTTATATTGGCGAATTGAGCTGAACTTGAACCATCATCAAGTCGAATTTCGCAGAATCTTGTTGGTTTGGAAAAAGGGTTCAATATCTTTTTGTTGGTTTGGAACAATGGGTCCAAGATTTAAGATCTAATATGTCATCTGAAATCCATCCATACTGAGTCATGAGTTCAATCTTAATAGACGAGTAGCTAAATTCTTATTTGTTAATTATTTCCCTTTAACTGAGATCTAATCATTAACCACCTTTAATATAACTAATATTTAGCGCATTTGTTGGTTAATAATGTATTTTGGAATAGCAAATTAATAGAGAACATATAGTTAAAAAATAAGAAAAAGTTTTAAATTTTCGTATAATATTAATTTATTGAAGAGTACGTGACTGAAAAAATGAAAGAAAAATCTATTTTGAAAATAATGAGATTAAAGCAAGGACATAACTGTAAACAAAAGTGGTTATAATTTTCTATTTTTGTTTTTGGACCATGCATAAAAGCTAGGGTAATGCTATGGGTACATAATCCATAATATAATAGTGTCCATAATTGACACATGGAGACCCCCTATTGGGGGGCGCTTGCGGGCCCAAGCACCCCTCTGATAGGGGGCCTCCATGGTCAATTATTTCCCTAAAAGCTAAGAGACTGTTTTCTTTGTATTTCAATTTTGTGTTTTGAATTTATTTTAAGTTTTGTGTTTTGAGTGTTTATTTTGAGATTGTTGAAAATTTGTCCTTTTTGACATTTTGAAAAATTGTTTTGAAAACACCAAAAATGCATTTTGAAAATTTTGGCTTGATTATAACTGAAAACACTCAAAACGACAATTTTGTCATTTTGAGTTTTCTTTGTAAATTTTTAATTTGTTTTCAAAAACGCGTTCTAGAAAATAGGAAAGAGAACGAGTTTTCACTGTTTTAGAAAATTAAAAATAGAAAACGACTTGAAAATGATAAAGAGAACAAATCCTAAGTCATTTTGACGAATATGTTTTAGGTTTTCCCATTTTTTTGTTCTTCCAAGTTGATGGGGTGGTCCATTATTATAAACATTAATTTTCAAAGCACACACACGTGCAAGTTGCTCTCTTAAATTAACTAAATTATCATTATCTAAATATATGGTACATAGCATTTCTCTAAAAGCTAAGTCCTTTTGATCACGAATATGATTCATGTTTTCCTTTTTTTTGTTCTTCCAAGTTGACGAGGTGGTCCATTATTAGAAACAAATTTTCAAAGCGTACACACGTGCAAGTTGCCCTCCAAATTAACTAAATTATCATTCTCTAAATATATGTGTGTGTATATAATAGGCATCAAGGAGTTGAGTCATCACATACATGTTTGTAATCATGGAAGCCAAAGCCATTTTGCTTAAACCTTTGCTCAAATTCATTCATAACGATTTTCACGAAGTTGTAGAAAGAATGACTCTAATTGATAGATTTATGTTTCTTGTAAGTTCTTTTTTCGATCATGGAGTCTAAAATTAAAGAGAATAATGCTTAGTTTCTTCTTCTTGTGTATTATCACACTTTACGGCCACTATTCTTCTTGTTGTGTGCTTCTTTCATTTCATGATCTAATATGATTACTTTTTGCATGCAGATAATTCACTTGGTGGACAAGTTGGGGATATGGCACCGCTTACCTGTGTTCTTAGGTCTAACATACCTAGCCATGCGTCGACATCTTCATCAAGAGTACAACTTGTTCAACGTCGGAAAATCGCCAGTCAGAGTAAGATTTAATCCGGTTGAAATTCCTTTCAGAACAGCTGATGGAAAATTCAATGATCCCTTCAACGAAATTGCCGGCAGCCAAGGATCGTTCTTTGGCAGGAACATCCTTCCTGTTGATCAACAACATAAGGTCATTAATTTATTTTCCCTTTTCAATCCCTTGGCCACAAACTAGAACTTGGTAGTATTAGTCGTAAACGATTGATACTACTGCATGTGCATCGACTCGGAAATGTTTTTAAAAAGTGAGATATTATGGATGCAGATAATGAAGCCGGATCCTATAATTGTGGCAACGAAGCTGCTGGCACGTAGAAAATACATCGACACGGGAAAGCAATTCAATGTAATTGCTGCTTCCTGGATACAGTTTATGATTCATGACTGGGTTGATCACATGGAGAATACTGACCAGCAGGTTTGGCTCTTGCATTCCTTCCATTCACCATATACCTATGTAAAATGGTACCTTTTTTTTTCCCAGTAACAAACAAGCAGCAGAAATATTTCAACCCCTCTTTTGTGCAGAATTAAAATGACAACACACAACTGCAAAAGGTAAACAATTGAACAAAAAAATTTGTCTAGACCTTGTCCAGATGAAACCTTCCACTATGAACAATAATGGGTACACCGAATGTCTTCTTTAGAACAACCTCCAGAGGCTACTAATACATCAAGAACACTAGATTTTGGATAACAACAACATCACTCTAAAAGTGGATACAGAGAATAACAATCAGCTCCAGTCAAAATGTAGCTCCCATAGCCAGGAACAATATACTGAAATTTCAGCTCCAACAAAGCACAAACAGGCCTCGATCATTGACGGAAAGTGACGAAACCCCTTTTTTTTCTTCTCTGTTTTTTTACCAGCAAAGCCTCTCTGTCTCTTTTTCCTTTTAATTGGTTTCTTGGTGACTTAGTGGAAAGTGGTCCCTCAACAATTATCCACATGTTTTTGTTCAATTTTTGACAATATATGTACTATAATCTTAGGTTGACCTTATTGCACCTAAAGAAGTGGCAAGTCAATGCCCTCTCAAGTCTTTCAAGTTCTACAAGACGAAGGAGGTTTTCACCGATCACGGCTATAGAGGTATCCAGAGTGGCCATTTGAACAGCAGAACACCGTGGTGGTGAGTTTTTCTTTCTAATTTCTTGGCCTTAAGAAAAGTGCTTTTATAAGCTTAGCCAAACATGCTATATTATTGAGTAAAACTTCCCAATAAAAGTGGCTTATAATGCAATTTATATCTGATCAGTCATTTACAATATATGAAGGGATGGGAGTGTTGTATACGGTAGCAATGAAGAAACTCTGCAGAAAGTAAGGACTTTCGAGGATGGAAAACTCAAGATTTCAGAAGACGGGCTTCTTCCCCAACAAGACGGGCAAGTCATTTCTGGTGATGTTCGTAATATCTGGGCTGGCCTCTCCACATTGCAAGCCCTCTTTGTGCAAGAACACAATGCAGTCTGTGATGCCCTGAAGGTGCCTCTTCACAATATTTTATCTTTTGCAGAGGAATTTTTTTTGTTCTCAGGAAATTACAAGTCCATACTGAATTTTCACCCTTGTTTTTTGGGATAATACAGAACGAATATCCTAATCTGAACGATGAGGACCTGTACCGGTATGCAAGGCTGGTCACTTCGGCTGTTATTGCCAAAGTCCACACAATTGATTGGACTGTTGAGCTTCTGAAGACTGACATGTTGCGAGCAGGAATGCGTGGCAACTGGTAAATAAATTTCCTAATAAATGTTTAGATAATACAAAATTATACACAAAGGTTTTTCCACCATACATGCAACTGAGTTGGTGTTTTACTTAAATATATTTCGTTTTCTCATATATCAACATGAGATATTAAAGGGCATGTTTCAACCATCTCATTAGGATTTAAATTCGGGTAATTAGTATATAACGGCCACACATTTCAATATTATTGTGGAAAATGTTGTTACCTTTCATTTTTTACTATTTTCACCCTTATTTTCAATTTTGTTTGCGCAAAATATCATTTTCATTCATTCTCTCAATTAAAAATTGTGAAATGACGCATATACCCTTATCTTTAAATAAAACAAAAGAAAAAATTAATTGTAACCATAGTTCCAAACTTTTTTAAAAAGTGCAAATAAATTCCAAATAAATTGTTAAAGGGTAATTAGCACATAAAATTCACACATTTCACTATAATAGTGGAAAACGTCCATACCTTTCATTTTTTTGACATTTTTACCTTTGATTGCGCAAACCGTTTTTCTATCCATTTTTATCCAACCTGTCAATAAGAGTTATGAAATGATGAATATACCATCCTATTTTTTAAAAAAATTAAATTGTTTTATATCTAATTTTTCATAATTTATTTGGAGCTCGTTTGCACTTTTTAATTTATAAAAAAATATATTAATTTTTTCATAAATTTAATTGGGACTCGTTTACACTTTTTTTTTAAAAAAAAATAAATTTTAATTTTTTAATTTATTTGGGACTTGTTTGCACTATTTTAACTAATTTCTACTCTTCTAATAATTTATTTGGGTCGTTTGCATTTTTTTTTTAAATAATGATTATTTTTAATTTTTTAATAATTTATTTGGGACTCGTTTACACTTTTCAAAAAAATTGGGATTAAGGTTGCAATTATTTCTTTACATTTTTTATTTAAATAGGATGATATAATCATTATTTCACAACTCGTTATTAAGAAATTTAATGAAAATAGATAGAAATGATGATTTGCACAATAATATGTATAATTAAGGGGGGAAAAATCCAAAAAAAAAAAAAAGTATGGACGTTATGTGCTAATTATCCTTGGAATAATTTATTTATGACTCATTTGCTTTTTAAAAAAAAATAAAAATAAAAATTAGTTTTTTTCTTTTTATCTTTGTTTTATTTAAATAAAATGGTACATTCGTCATTTCACAATTTTTAATTGAAAAAATGGATGAAAATGACCTCTGCATAATGAAATGTGAAAATAATTGTGAAAATACCAAAAAAAAAATTAAAGGTAAAGACGTTTTCCACAATAATAATGAAATGTGAAGACGTTATGTGTTAATTACCCATTTAAATCCATATAAATTCATATAGTATATGAAGTAACACATTAAAATTTTTGGCTTTGTATCTTACAAAGGTATGGATTGCTTGGGAAGAAGTTTAAAGATACATTTGGACACATTGGAGGAGCCATATTGGGCGGCCTCGTGGGCCTGAAGAAACCTAACAATCATGGCATCCCCTATTCATTGACCGAGGAATTTGTGAGTGTTTATAGGATGCATTCCCTTTTACCCGATAAGCTTCTCCTGAGGAATGTTGATACATCACCAGGACCGAACAAATCTCCTCCTTTAGATAAAGAGTATGTTTCTTTTTGCTTAGTATCATATATGATAATGGCATGTTTGTTACGTTAGTCAGGATTAGAAATAATCATTTGTACTTTTTCTTTTTCATGTTTAGTCGTGTACAGTTTAACCTAACTTAAACGATACATGTGTTTTATGAAAGGAACTTAATTTTACAGATTTATAATATGCAGAATCTTGTTCTTCGTTGCTTCTATAAGTTATTTAATACTTTGATAAATATTACAGAATGGATATGCGTGAACTGATTGGTCATAAAGGAGAAGAGAACTTGCAAAATATTGGCTTTACCAAGCAAATGGTATCAATGGGACACCAAGCATGTGGCTCCCTTGAGCTTTGGAATTATCCCAATTGGTTTAGGGACCTCATCCCCCAAGAAGTAGATGGCAGTGATCGGCCCGACCCTGTTGACTTACCTGCTCTCGAAAGTATGTATCAGATAAATATGCACATAATTTTTTTTACACGTGACTTGTGTATGCATTGACCTATCACACAAACATGATGCACAAAGTAGGGTTGTAAAACGTCATATGTTTGTTGGACTCATGTCAGCTTCGTGCTGGACTTGGCACAAAGCAAGTTTAAGGCCAATCATGCTTCATACATCCCCACAGGCCCAAACTATGAGTATTGAGTTGGCCTTCACAAAATGCTGGTCCCCAGTGACTGACCAAGCTTAGACTGGTTTAGCCTATTCTCCCCGATGCAACTAACTAATCTTGATTGTGAGTAAACAAGTTAACAGTGATTGAGGATGTAAATCTAATGCAAATAATTGGTTGCAGTTTACAGGGACAGAGAAAGGAATGTCGCCAGATACAATGATTTCAGAAGGTCCCTCCTTTTGATTCCCATTTCAAAATGGAATGATCTAACAGATGATGAGGAAGCTGTCAAAGCTCTTCGAGAAGTCTACGGTGATGATGTAGAGGAGCTTGATCTTCTTGTGGGACTCATGGCAGAGAAAAAGATCAAGGGATTTGCTATTAGCGAGACGGCCTTTATTATTTTCCTCATCATGGCACCAAGGTACAGTTGATTTCCTTGACAAATAGTATCTACAAGTGATAAAAGAAAATTATTAGTTATTAGGAGATAAAAGTTCTTAAAAATGAAACTAAAATTTATTCATACCGCCGTCGTATGTTTATGGTTCGTACATGTATATCTAAAATGTAGAAATAATCCAGGAGATTAGAGGCGGATAGATTTTTCACGAGTGATTTTAATGAAGAGGCATATACAAAGAAAGGGCTGGAATGGGTAAACACAACTGAAAGCCTCAAAGATGTGTTAGATCGGCATTACCCTGAGATGACAAAGAAATGGATGAACTCAAGTAGTGCATTTTCAGTATGGGATTCAGCACTGGAGCCTTACAATCCCTTTCCCCTCTATCTTCGAGTTTCCCTATGAAGTCGCATTCATAATAGTTTGGATCTGTTTCAACTTCAAGTTGTAAAATGTCTTAGTTTGGTTTATGTTTATTTGCTTTGAGTTGTGGATTTGACAAGTTGTGCAATAGAAAATAAAACAGCATCTTTGAATTTTTCTGAAGTTCGTATTATAATTTTTTCTCGAGTTTTTTCCTTTCTACATATAGTTGAGATTGTCAAAAATGTGCCATCATTTGCTTTTACTCATAAATAGAGATGCAAAATGAGATCATCTAGGCTAGCATGATCCATGTTCTCAAGAGTTTTGACTTGATAGATTATCATGCTCTCTTTTGAGCCTGGAGGAAAACTGGATGTCAACGATTCTTTACATATATGTTCTTATGCATAAAGGGTTTTATCCTTTATCAAGTCTTTGCAATCCTTCAAGGATGATTGTCTCTTGGAGGAGGTGCAACTTTGTTATGGCTTGAATTCAATCTTAAAAGGTCAGCTTTATAGGAATAGCAAAAAGTGTTCAATGTTGTGCATTTATATCATTGTTAATCAATGTGACATTTATAATTAACATACTCCCATAAAATGATATGGCTCATAAGAGAACACTAATTTGGAATTTTCTGTGTTCATTTTGAGCCTTAATCAAATCACATTGAATCATTCATTCAAATTAAATAGATTATTTGAAGTGATATATACCCCTAATGGACTCTTCATTCAAGCATACAGCCTTAATATACACTACTCCTAAATAACATGCACAATATTTCAACTTTGTGAAATACTAACATAGTAATAGAAATTATTTCCTTGCATATAACCATGTATTATTTATATTATATCCATCAGAATAGTGTGATTATAAATTGTGTGTGAAGGAATGCTGAAGTTCAATAAAAATAAAACCAATAGTTTTGAGTTGGTATAAAGTTCCTTTGATACACTACTAAAAAATTGAGATCCACCTACTGAGGATTCAATGACCACACAAAAATGGATGCTATAAGATACCTCTACTGACCAATTTTTGGTCGATAAAGTTCTTGGTAGGTTAAGATTGGAGCAATTTTTTATTTGCCTTATTGCAACAAACACTTGGTTGTTAATTCCAAGTATTACCGACAAAATCACATTTGGCCGCTAATAATTTGAGCGGGAATTTGTACAGCCCATTTTTTTCTTGTGAGATTGGGGCTTTTTTTATTTGGTATAATTGGTTGTTAATTCCAAGTATTACCGGCCGCTAATAATTAGAAAGGGAATTTGTACTGCCCATTTTTTTCTTGTGAGATTGGGGGTTTTTTTTTTGTAATAATCTTTTAAGTCCTCTTCGTAAAAAAACACGTGGTATACTTTTAGTTGGGTGAATTTGTTGCCTAATCAATTACTTCAAGGTGTTGTTATGTTTCATAGAAGCGATCTCCAGTTGAGAAATGCAATCAAGCCAAGACACCATATAATCACCATGTTGAGACTAGTCTTTCACTGCAACTATGGAAGCACTGGCAATTAAAATCTGTCGGATTTGTTGCTTTTCTGTTTATCAACTTCAAATAATCACTAGTCATTAAATTTGTTGCATGATCTCCTATTCATCAACTAAATTTAGATTGTACATTTGCAAAATAATTAAAATATGTGTATGTTAATAGGATTGATGTGCTACAGAAAATAATGTTGGAATTTTTGGGAATATATTTTTCCTTCTTTGCCCGTATTTGGAAAAATATTATTTCCATTATTTCACGTGATTTATTAGAAAAATATTGAGAAAATATTTTTCTTNATATCGGTTCCTTTGCTATTTTTTTTCTTTACTTTACTTTAAATCTTGTTTTTGTTTGGTGAGCGATCAATACTTCATATTGCTCCATTAATCTCTTCTGATTTTTCATAACATGTGGGTTCAATGGGTCCCAACAAGTGGTAACAGAGCTACAAGTTGTTGAATTTATTTGAAATTTCTAGTTTCGATGGCTGCCATGAAGTATGACATTTCGCTTTTGGATCGCAATATAAGGTTTTCTCTATGGCAAGTAAAGATGAAAGCAATTATTGCGCAGATGGATTTGGATGATACTCTATTGGTTTTTGATAAAATGCCAACACTTGGACGATAGAGGAGAAGCAACGGAAGGGTCAGAAGGCGCAGTCTATGATTCATCTTCATCTCTCTAACAACATTCTTCAGAACGTGGTTAAGGAGAAATTAGCTGCTACATTGTGGTTAAAATTGGAGCAACTGTGCATGACGAAGACATTGACGAGTAAGTTACATCTGAAGCAGAGGCTTTATTCTCATCGCATGGCAGAAATGAGTTCTTTGGACGAACATCTGGCCTTGTTCAAGGAAATCGTTGCTGATCTGGAAACATTAGAAGTCAAGTATGATGAAGAAGATATGGCCTTGATCCTGTTGTGCTTATTGCCCGTTTCTTATTTGTCGTTTAGAGATACGATCTTGTACAGTCGTGACACACTCACCATTGACGATGATTTTGATGCTTTATTTTCAAAGGAGAAGATGAAGCATATTGATGGGGCTAAGGATGAAGAAGCTTCTTGTACAGTCATGACACTCACCATTGACGATGTTTATGACGCTTTATTTACAAATGACAAGATGAAGCATATCGTTGGAGCTAATGATGAGGAACCTCTGGTTTTGTACAGTGATCGATGGAGGGGTAGGTCGAGGGTGAACTTCAGCAATCAAGTTTGCTTCTACTGCAAGAGAAAATGACACATCAAGAAGTGTTCATTCCATATGTGTCCCAATAGGGCCTGGTTTGAAACATATGACACAGTAAAGTAAGGTGGAGTTGTCATGAGAAACAACAAATCTTGTAGGGTTGTTGGAATCGGTCAAGTCAGATTGTGGTTATTGGATGGGATAGTTCGAGTTCTTGGCCAGATTCGACATGTTCCAGACTAAAGGAAGAATCTCATCTCATTTAGTACCCTAGATTCTAATGAGTACACATTCTTCGGTGGAAGTGGAGTGTTGAAGATCCAAAGAGGTCATCGTGTTGTGCTGGAAGGACGAAAGAGATCTCAATTGTATATTTTGCAGGGAAGCGTAGAACCAGTGAAGAGACATCTGGACAGGTTTAGTACGTTGGAAGAGATCTAGTTTGAAGGTGACAGTTCTAGCAAGGGGCCTTCAGTTCAAGCATTTGGTATGAATTCCGCTACAGGGTATGCTTTGACCCTGTTTCGTATTTGTTGAATTCTTTGTTGAAATTTTGGGAACTCGGGATTAGGTTTGGGTGTCGCTTGTGGACACTAGGCAGATGTGATGTTTTTCGTGAGGTGGAGAAATTTTTGGATTTTAGTTCGATGCATCGAAATTTGTGTCAATGTGGAAATTGTAGGATTTTGTGACCCAAATTAGGTTGAAATTTTTGGGAATATATTTATCCTTCTTTGCATGTATTTGGATAAATATTGTTTTATTTATTTCACGTGATTTGTTTTTATCTTGTTTCCATCTTGNTCACGTGATTTTTTTATCTTGTTTCCATCTTGGATTTGGACATCTTCACTAAAAATAGTACTCTTCATTCAGTTTTTTAGAGTAGAAATTATTGAAATTGTATTTTCTCTCCATTGATTGTTTAATAAAATATCGGTTCCAATACCAATTTTTTCTTTTCATAAATTTAAATATTGTTCTTGTTTAGTGAGCTATCAATACTTCATATTGCTTCATTAATTTCGTCCGATTTTTCACAACACGTGGGTTCAAAAGGCCCCCAACAAATAAAAGTTTAGAATTTAAGTTCCAACAACTAAAGATAAAACGGCACATATATTTAAGCATGCATACTATAGTATTAAGAATTCAGGTTCCAACAACCTAAGGTCAGATATTGTCATCCCATCAGCTCAGTACTAAGAATGCATGCATGCTATTGTTTATTTTCAGCTGCACCTACCCCTAAGATTGGGTTTATCATATTCATCACAGACATAATCCTCTCTTTTTTGCTATTCTTTGAGTTGGGAATTAAGGATGAGATTATATCATACAATATGAAGTAAAAATTATGACACAAGAAGAACCCAAGAAATTTGACAGAGAAAAAGAAGAATTCATTATAATATGCAGAAATAATACAAAAATATTATTTTTATAATATTATCTAACTTATCAAATTTGTAATAAAGAGTCAACTATATATAGGGTACAAGTCAAAACCCTAATAATAATTCTAAAGATAGAAAAAAACATCAAAAAATGCGTCAAAACGCGAAACGAATCGTAGACCGAATGTTGTCAAAAGCCTAATAATAATTCTAAAGATAGAAAAAACATCAAAAATGCGTCAAAACGCGAAACGAATCGTAGACCGAATGTTACCGCCTCTCGAGTGCCACCTAGCGAGAAGCAAGCAGCGGAGGTACTGGTCGAGCAACAGGTTGGCGTCAAGCAACTCCAACTCCCTGTTTTGTGCACTCAAGTAGGAACTTGGCTTGCAACTAACGGGAATGTGCCTAAATCACTTCTTGGTCCATATTTTAACCCTTCGAGGCCCACTTTAACTAATCCACAAATCCCCAATTGAATTTGAGTCAAATTTTAACAAATCTCCACATCGACAGAAATTTCAACACAATGAACAAGACTACAAAACTCTCCATCTGGAGACAAATTCCACCGCAAGGAATAAAAGTGAACTCTTCAAAAGAATATAGACAAATTCTCTAATAAACAAAATTCTTCACCTCTTCCACAAAATCCAACTAGGATAAACTTAATAATTGAATGTCAACTGAATCCAAGCACTATTCAACAGAATTATCTCGAGTACGAAAGTTGCTCGAATTACTACCTCAAGCAAAAAAATCAAAAAACAACTCAACAATCACCAAAAAGGGCAAAAGTACACTATTTAACATAATTAACACTACAAAACTGCTTTTGTAGAAGGTTTTTTCCTAGAGTTAACGCCTTCAACCACATTTAAAATATAAGCAACTAAATCAGCTTTCTCATACTTTTGTGGAGGCCTAATA